TTTTGAAGAATCCCAGTAACATAACGATCCTGAGGACCTGAATTCAAATATTTTTATGGATACATTTGATTCAGAAATTAAACGTAAGTCTTCTGCTTTGTAAGTTTCGTCAGCACAATGAATCGAACATTATTATATTGTGGCTATTTGATATTTTTGACCTAGCTTCATTTTTGGCTGCAGTTAGTTTATTGGCTTGTATATTTCGGAGAACTCTTGTTATAATGGCACATCCCTGAATAACTAAATGAAGTATATACATGTACATGCTTACATGTATATATAAACGTGTTTATATGCTCCAGATATACTGTATAGCCAGTATCAATGCTACATGTACTGTTACCAAAAACAAATTACGGGAAACATACGAAACACTGGCTTGATATATATTTTTTTAAAACAGATTGACACTGGCATAATATACATTAGCTACTCTTTAAAATAAAGTTTTGTAAAAATCAGATTTTTCACCGAACTTAAGATTTAATAGATTATTTATTTTCATTATTTTCATTCTTTAAGGTTTACTAGTGATGTAATAGGAGACAGAGAGTAGCGAGAAAATGCCTGGAGATTCTTGAAGTTACATGTAAGTGTTTTAGGAAGTTCCTGAATTAATCTTATTTCTATGCTTCAAATTGTTAAGTAACAGAAATCTGAAATACTTGGAGGAGAATTCTCTCATTATCATGTTTATTTCCGTTTCAACTACAATATTTTATTTTAAAAAAGGTGACTGATATATGTATTGTAATAAAAACAGGTTTTTTTTCTATTATACATGTGTTTAATGTAATTGTCACTGTCTGTCTCCCTCCAATTGTTTGTCCAGTCTTTCCTTGTTGGCTATTTATGAAGAACAATGATAAACATTTTCGATTACTTCATATGAGTCCAGCTACCAGCTTCTAAAATAGCTATTATTTTATTATTTCATACAGTATATACTGTATAATAAAGCAATTATTGACTTCTAGTAAAGTAATACAAATATTTAACACCTAGTCAAAGCAATGCTCATATCTGACTCGGGTCCCTGTTAACACATCAATTTACATGTTTGATAAATCATTGTAATAACATTATGAAGATCAGTATTGCATGATACACTGTATAAACAACAAGTGATGGATACAATGTTTCATATTTATTCAACATACAATAAGTAAATGCCCAGACGCCCTTTAGTTTCTGATGTTTGGGACATATTTTAATATAGTTAGTATCTATTTGTTTAGGATGCCTGGAAAGGGAGAATTTCGGTGTGTTGTTTGTTCTAAGAGAACAAAACCTGGGGACAGGCGCTTCACTAAAGGCAAGGAAAACTCTTCACTAAGAAAATATTTGTTGAAAACATATATGATACAAACAAAAGAAGAAGATGTCATTTGTGGAAAGTGTCGTATGTCATGTCATCGCTCAATACTACAGCGTCGTACACACATCGCTCAACACCACTCTTCAGTTGAAGCCCCTTGTAATAAATCAACAAAGAACATCCTTTCATCGCCGCGGAATATTACACTTTCAATCCCATCCACTGGAAGTAGCCACAAAAAATGTTTTGTATGCAATACTTACCCAAAGAAACTGGTGGTAATATCTCGTGACGCGAAATACGACCTCTTCCTGCAAAAAGGGGTTTTAGTTCCGTTCGGAGCAAGATGTTGTAGTCATCATATCGAGGATGGTCTATTGCAAAATGATGCTTGTGAAAACATTGCTATAAAAAGTGACCTATCTTCTCTTAATCGTACTGAAATAGTGGCATTGATTTCTAAGATTAGAGATGTAGCAAATACACAGCAAAGCAAACGCATTGACTTTGACTCACCGCATGCCCTTTCGAATGAAGATTTCATTACACTAACTGGACTATGTACACAGCATTTTAACGATTTGTGTACTCACTGTGCTGGTTCTGTGCGATCTTCAAAGAATAGGAGCATTAAATCTTGTGTCGGCATCTTTCTTACTAAACTAAAAAGTGGCATGTCAAATAAAGTCCTATCAACAGTTTTTAACATTGGAAAAGATTCTATTCGACGTGCAGTAACATCGGCAAGAGTTGCACTAGCGAAAGACTTTGTTCCATCAAATCTGGGATTTCAGCATGTAAGTCGACAAGATGTTATACTGAAACACACAAGACCACTCGCCCAAACATTGTTTGGAGGACTTATGGAACCAGCCATTCTTGTAATTGATGGCACCTACATTTATATACAAAAGAGTGGCCAATTTATGTTCCAAAGGAGGAGTTACAGCATGCATAAGCACCGGCCGTTGGTAAAACCTATGATGTTTGTCACCACAACAGGTTACATAGTGTCCGTGTTAGGTCCCTATTTTGCCGATTCCAAAAACAATGATGCCAGCATCCTGAATCAGATTTTAAATTCCAACATTCAAGAAATCAAGGAGTGGATTCAGGAAAATGATGTGTTTGTGGTTGACAGAGGCTTTAGAGATTCCATGGACCTCCTACAACAGCTAGGAATACAAACAGAGATGCCTTCTTTTTCCAAGCAAAGGAAACAGCACACTACCGGAGAAAGCAACGCTTCCAGGCTTGTTACTAAAATAAGGTAAGGTCTCTCTTTGTTCTGAGTAACATTTTACTAACTTTACCAATTGCTTTTACAACATATTTATAACTTATTTGTATTAATATATCATTAAAATGGTTAAAGGTAATTCCCAGTGAGAATTAGATACTTTCGATTTTATAAGTTGAACTGCATAAACCTGTCCATTTAGAAGATGTCGAAATTGAAAACAAAATTTATTTGATATAGTTACCATCATATGCATTTGAATACTGCATTTATTCACATTCAAAATGCATCTATTTACTATTTTTCAGATGGGTCGTTGAGGCTGTGAATGGACGGTTAAAAACCTGGAAATATTTGGATCGTGTGTTGCCAAACTCACAGATTCCATACATAGGCGATATTGTCAGGATTGTGTGTGCAATCTTCAACAAGTTCGGTACACCAATAAGCACGGGGGATGCAGAGCAAGATCAACTGCTAGGATCGAAAATGTTGCATTTGTCACGGAAGCAGAATTCTCTTTGGGAGAGAATTGAACGAGAAGGCCTTTTCAATCGACCTAGTAAGTGGCAGAAGATGGAGACCACAACTGATATCATATTTCCTGTTCTGACAGAAGAAGACCTGCGGAATTTGACACTGGGAGTGTATCAGCTCAAACTGGCACGGTCCTACACACAGGAACATATGAGCGAAACGGGAGGATATGAAGTATCTATCTGTAAAGTAGATGCTAATCTGATCAATGCCAAGATACAGAGCCGACATTTTTCCTCAAAACTTTACCAATTGTGGGTATCATTTGATGATTGTAATGTGCAAGGATGGTACTGTACATGCCGTGCTGGGGCGAGGGTGGTTGGGACTTGCTCCCATGTTGCATCCATCTTATGGTATATGGGATTTGCACGTCATTTAGACAAGTCCTTTGACTTTAGTAAGGACTGGACACAATATTTACAAGATGCCAGTTATACACCAGACCCAATCAGTATTGATGAGAGTGATGATGAAGGTAACACGGAGGAATAAAACAGCACAGCTTTACCGATGTAGCCATGTAAATTACATATAAATTTCGGAATCTCCAAAAATGTAATTACAAATGCACGATGGTCACTTGATCGACTGAGGAATTGGCTTTAATCTCGAATGACAATGTATTTTGTTAGTGCATAATGTTTATTTGAAATAACTTTTAACTTTTGTAAGAATCATTAACTGTAACATGTTTGATTTCATATCCTTTTCAAATTAACCAAGAATATAAAGATAACCGTGTACGGAAGTATTGACAAATTGATGTACTGATTATTGCATGTACTGTTGCTATGGTGAAATATTTAGTTGCTATGGTAAGACATGGTTACTGTGGAATACCACCTATATGCTCTATTGTATCATCATATTTACATTTTTAAGATGTATCATAATCTAAACAGCCCTTGAGTATTATCATCAATTTTCTGTGTCCATTATTGTATTTATTACAATCCGTTGCTATGGAGAGAGTTTGGTTGCTATTGTGTTGCTAGGAAATCTTAAACATGTAATATATGATGGTTGATCACAAATATGATATGATTTTTAAATCATACCATTGATATGTAAAAATTGATTAAATATTTTCACCAAATAATAAAAAAAAACAGTGAAATATCACTAAAATGTGCAAATAGACGGTAAAGAGTAGGTTGGTTTCCAGGCCCGTTGCTAGGCAACGCATTGTCAGAATTATTGAAAACTTGTTTTTTTATCAATGTCATATGTCCATGTTTGCATGATATAAAAATTAAGAAAATCTATGCTGGGGCCAAAATTGACCCTTAATGCATCTACTCCTTTTTTCCGGAAAGTCAACTTGTAGTGGTTCACAATTTAGGTATAGCTCCGTTAGGTGATTTGTGGCTATTAATCAATGTGCGTTTACGCCGCATGACGATTGCGCTTGTAATTAGATACGGCTTTTTCATTACTTTTTACCGCTTGTAAATGCTCGATGTTTTCTACATCTTGTCTTTCTGGTACATCCATAGTTTTATATAAATGTAAGTATTAAGAGACATGTAAGATATCTAGATGTAATGCTATACAGGTATTTGCACATGGTAAGTAAGCACTTCAATATCATTATTTATTCTTGGATCTATTTTATTAACATGGCGTCGTCAATGACGCCAAAGTGACGCTATGTACCGCTTCCGTTAAAAATCTGGCAATCCACTGTATTTAAAAGTTTTATGAAAGTTTCATATCATCATATCATCGTGCAATGATGTTCGTTCAAAAAATAAATTCTTATTGAGGAAAAACATTCATGTCAAAGTTCAAAATGTTGTCTGTTCACGCGACTTTTATGGTGTAATCACAACTCACAATGCCATTACCTAACTATTTACAGGAAATGGGAGTCTAGAATTTCCGGAATTTGTTACGTTGATGAAAAATAGAAAAGAGACCACTGACGAAATCGCAGAGTTGATCTGGGCTTTTAAAACGTTTGATAGAGACGGAAATGGATTTCTTGATCCTAAAGAATTGCGGATCGCCTTGAAGCATCTCGGTGAACCAATGACAGAGGAGGAAGTAAACGAATTGATAAAAACAGCGGACAAAAATAGTGATGGGTTAATCGATTTAAATGGTAAGCACGCATACATGGAATTTAATCTTAGAAACATCATTTGAACGTAACAAATATTCCTCTGAATATTCTTAATAAATGAAGTTGTGTTTTAAGTTATATCAATCCTTTTTCTCTGACGAATACTCGGGAAAATAATTACTGTTCTAGCATGTCTTACATTGTAGAGTTCATCGCATTCTTCACTGGAAATTCGACGCCACACGAAGCAAGTGGTAACCAGACTACAACGACAATGGGCTTAAATCTCACCGTTTGAAGTAGGGAAAAGTGGTGATGCCAATCTGACTATTCTACAGTCATTCAGTGATAAACCAATGGTTCGCCCGAAAATTCATTAAGGTCGGCTGAATATAGTGGGGTAGCCAAAACATCAGCTTTTGTGTGGGCGCTTTGAAAAATTTCAAGACATTGTGACAAATGAGTCATTTAGCAATTTGTGTGTTATATGTACTCGTGCTAATTTGCTAAGGATGATTTCTGCCATAATCGTTCAAAATCTGACAACTCGTCTCGCAGGGAGAAATGATTGAAATTGAGAATGTACCTTGTCACCCCGTTTGCAATCCTGTAACTTGGATGTCCAGTAATTTGTCAGATTATGTTTCAATCATAGTGATATTCATTGTTGTTAAGTTATTTGAGGTTGCTTGAGGGACATTCTGGTATAGTATTCAAAGCTATTTCATATGAAAGTAGACCAGTTATAATAGTATGTGACTATGAACTACATTGATCAGCTTTTGACAATTTTTTCAACTTCTTTATTCAAATTTGGTACTTAGCAGAAAGCACAATAAGTACAATGTTCACTAAAAAAATTTGTACGAATATTTTGATAATAAGTCTTGTCCAACTTCCAAGGTTCATATGACGGGTTTCGTCGATGAAGCAGTCATACTTTGATGAAGTGTTTTATTAACTAAACATATTGTGTACGGTTCAACATTCACAAAACACCTTTCACTTTCCCCAAGCGTTAAATACGCCCTGAGCCTTATAACAACGAATATGTCCTCTTTATCTTCGGTCTGTAACGAAAAGGGCAAAGTGGGAGAAACGGAAGAAACTTAAGAGACCGGGAAAGTTTCCCTGTATATAGAACTAATTACTATATAGTGACTCTATTGTATGTCAGTAATTATCAGTTATTTAGTAAATGTCTGTTAGTTTCAGAAATCCACAAACATTTAACGATGTCATTCTGTTAAGTTGTTCTTTAGAATGTGGCGACATTGTACAGGAAAAAAAATTTAAACAAGGGTTGTGCTTGTTTATAACCCTACTGTTATACAGTGATATAGCACGTGCAAAATTGGCATATACGTCATCAGCATTAATATCCCCTGGAGCCTTATTTCTATTGGCTGCACCAATCATAACTCGATTGTGATGTCATAATATAGGCAATGTCTTCATTACTTATGTGTTTTTATGAGACTTTTCTCAAAGTTTGAATATTTTTGCGCGCCATGTCCTGCAATTATAAAGCCTTCAGAGCCTTCCTGTGTGTCTCTGCTTCGTTAGTTCACGTACGTATTATCAACATCATTAGTTGTTATATTTGAAACATGCGAAATGGCAAATAGTAGATAATAATCATTCAAGTGTATGTACTTTTTGTTAGAAAGGTATCTTAGAAATACTTCCGTATACTTATTTTTACGGCAGCCGATAAGCTACACTGAAGATTTGGAAATATCATTCTCTCTGCCGATAAGTTACACTGAAGATATAGAAATATCATTGTCTCTGCCGATAAGCTACACTGAAGATTTGGAAATATCATTCTCTCTGCCGATAAGTTACACTGAAGATAAAGAAATATCATTGTCTCTGCCGATAAGCTACACTGAAGATTTGGAAATATCATTCTCTCTGCCGATAAGTTACACTGAAGATATAGAAATATCATTCTCTCTGCCGATAAGTTACACTGAAGATTTGAAAATATCATTCTCTCTGCCGATAAGTTACACTGAAGATATAGAAATATCATTCTCTCTGCCGATAAGTTACACTGAAGATTTGGAAATATCATTGTCTCTGCCGATAAGTTACACTGAAGATATAGAAATATCATTCTCTCTGCCGATAAGTTACACTGAAGATATAGAAATATCATTCTCTCTGCCGATAAGCTACACTGAAGATATAGAAATATCATTGTCTCTGCCGATTAGCTACACTGAAGATATAGAAATATCATTGTCTCTGCCGATAAGCTACACTGAAGATTTGGAAATATCATTGTCTCTGCCGATAAGCTACACTGAAGATTTGGAAATATCATTCTCTCTGCCGATTATCTAGATTAAAGATATAGAAATATCATTCTCTCTGCCGATAAGCTACACTGAAGATATATAAATATCATTCTCTCTGCCGATTAGCTACACTGAAGATTTGGAAATATCATTCTCTCTGCCGATTAGCTACACTGAAGATATAGAAATATCATTGTCTCTGCCGATAAGCTACACTGAAGATATAGTAATATCTCTGCCGATAAGTAATATTCCTTTAGTAATGCATGTTATGTTTTTTACAATAATGTTATAGATATGTAGATATTAAATGGTGTCTAACAGGTCCTTATTTAGCCGGATATTGATTAACCCTTAAACAGTTTTGCATTGTGTATGTTTGTATTGAGAGTTAATACGTGACAATTCAATAAAATAAGTTATCATCATTATCCTTATCACAAATTAAGCGCTAATCAGTATATACATATTAATGTATATATGTGTCGTGTCTATCCCGTTCATTGGAAATTGAAATATAGCTATATTATGTGGGGTTAGTAATACATGTAGCTTGCTTTCTAACACGATTTATATTACAACTGGTAATGTTCTATTACTACCGCTTGAAATCTGAGCTTTTATTTGAATGAGAACCGCTAGCAGGACTCTTATCTTTCCACACATATAGGTGCAGTTCTGTGTATATTATCACTGGTATATATATATATTGATACTGGATCCTAACAGACAAGTGCTCGTTGGATGTGTATTACTGGAATATATATGTGATCAATGAAGTAATAGCGACAGTACGGACAAGCGAATTGTAAAACAACTTTCGAGGTAATCCACCCCTTTATCACATACATCAAATACATAGAGCATAGAATAAATACATAGTTATAAAGTTAAATCGAGAGTGGTGGTGTAAATTTAGGTCTCGTTAATCCCTTCGGCTGATGGAAGGCCTTTATAAGACAAAAATCAACTTCGATTGTTGTAAGTTGTTGATAAACAGATTGTCTCGAAAATGTAACAATACACTTGTCCGTGCTGTCGTCATTGCTTCATTGATATATAATACTGTTAGTATGATTTAGCTTTACTTTAGTGTGGCAGCACGTACCTGGTTTGGTTTTAGATTTTACATTCTATAATTTTCATGAGTTTTGTAAACCATACAGTGGAACATCTGAGTCATTTAGAAGCTTTGCAATACTGACTCTTTCTAACGCTCAAATGCTTCTGATTTAAGTAGCAGCGGACACGAAAGCTGGCGAGTTGGGCCGAAAACATCGTACAATGTGGTCAATTCATCTAATTTAGTCAAATTTGATATATTGCTTCATTGTCACTACGGTTAATGCTATAAAACTCTGAATTATCATATAAAAAATTATTTAATCTCAATGAAAATGACAGAGATCAAATGTATATCATAATTATAAGATAAGTAGTAATATGAAATTGAATTAAAGAGGGAAAATACAGATATTCCACGCTAGACTAATAAAACTTCGTATGTTACATTTTCTGTTGTCTTGTAATATATTGCCATGCATCTGACAGTGACACAGCATAGAAAATCGCACATTATCATAATGAGTTTTCATGTGATGTTCTCATAAGCAACGAAAGATGACATGTATCTGGAGAAATAAAATGTGATATACAGTATCTTAAATGAATTTGACTTTTATCTTTTAAATCACTTCAGCTTTTGTGCAACACGTTTGCAGTATGCGGTGTAGAGTTGCCTTTGAAGGACGTGTAATATTAATAAGCATTAAGATTCATTTATAAAATCTCAGCTAAAATCATACTTAAGAGGGAATAGAATATTTCTCAACAAGATCATTATGACGACTCCCCCATAATAACTTGCATTCCTCAAAGCCCTGTGATGTGAGTTTGTCTATCAGGCCCCAGAGCATCGAATCAACTGGGACATGTACACACGATAGGTTGGAGATTGCTGCTATTTACAAATTGAAAATTCATAATAGGAAAATTGGGATCATCACAATTATCATTGGGTTTGTGGAGAGTTAGTATATTGGTTTCGTTGGAAGAAAAGATTTGACAAAAACAGCTGATGTCTTTGGCCTTAATTTATTCAATATATGCAGGGTATAAACGATGGACGTGTTCATTAACTTTCTTGTTATCTAACGGCATGACGTAATCAATACATCTGAAAGTGAAATTGATGGACATCAGAAGGTCTGTTTGACATGTATTGATACGCTGATTACAGTCACGAATGTCAACAAAAACACGTCCTCTCGCATATCTATGACCAAGTGTTAAACGACATGTAGTTAGTTTGTGTACATTTTTTTCTAAAATATTTCAACCAACTCGTCCCGTTGTTTTCTACCATAGTGTATGCGGACTCATAGTTCGGCTGAAAAAGGCGATGAGATATCCTGCCATCTCTTACACTCCGTACACTAGTGCTAATACGCTCCATGCTGGTCATTTTTCGAAGGTGGCAATGTTGTCATCGGAATGCCACACTTTACTCAAAGTCGTTAGCATCACTGCACTAGTGTATCTCACTCTAAATTTGTAATAAAGCATGCTATTTACTTGTATTTTTTATTTTTTGTACAATCTGAAATCTTATGCTGGTTGTGTTATAAGTGTTTCTATTATATTGATACTGACAACCTCAGGAAAATTAACAGTAAACAAAATGTTCATATCTTGCCCTTGTTTCATCGGCTTGTCTGAAACGTGTGGTCATCG